TTGTGCTCAGAGCAGTGTCTGGCAGAGCTCGCACTGTATGTTAGCTATTATTACTATTATTATTATTATTATTACTGTTATTATCACTATTATTTACCAGGTGCCTCCCATTCACCTCAGGGAGTAGGTGGAGTGGATGTTAGTCCCCTCTTTCTTAGAGATGTGGAAACAGAGGCTTAGGAAGTTGGGAGAACTGCCCATGGTCACACGGCAGGACCGGAACCTGGGTCCTCAGAGTCCCAAGTCCACATACTTCGCCAGAGGCTTGGGTGGGGCTAGAGGAAGGAGATGGCCAGCAAAGCTCAAAGGGGATGGTCGCGGCCACGGAGCTGAGAGAGGAGAAAACGAGGGGGATGGGGCTACCCTGGCAGCGAAACGGCAGGATGGGAGCAGAGCTGAGTAGCCAGCAAGACAGCCTTCCTCCCACCTTTATATCCCAGCTCCTCTGGTGAGGTCACTTTTGGCCTTGCCAGCTGCAAACCTGCTGACAGCTATCCTGCCCCCGATGAGTAGCTTTGATTGTGGCCAAGTCCCCCCAGGAACTGCGCACCGTCCAGCTGGCTTGGGGATACGTGCCCTGCCCGCCCGAAATTACAGGAGGATGTAGGGGGATGAGGAGGGGGGCTTGTGAGGGATTCACAGACAACAGGCTCATTTCCTGGGTCCATCTGCTGAGGAGGGTTGGCAGGGCCTGAGCTGATGTCATCCAAACAGACTAGCTCATTCTCTCTAATTTTGGAGACAATTACTTACTCAGAGTACCACCTGCCCTTCTCTCCGTGCCTGCAGCCTCTCTGCATGACCCCTCACTCCCAACTCCTACCCACATGGCAGCTAGATTCTGCTTCCTCAAACATGTATCACTCAGGCTCTGCCTGGCTCCAGAGTCCTCAATGGCTCCCTATTGCTCTCCCTGTCATATGTGCAGCTTGGGATCTAGGATCCCTCTACCCCTTTACTCATAATTACTCCACACTGAAGGGTTTTTTCCTCACAGATGCCCTTCCTCCTGCCAGCCTGGGCTGCATTCACCATTCCTCACTGCCAGTCTACCCAAGTCTTTTTCACTTTAAAGACTGGAATCTAAACCCCTCCTCCAGACAGCCCTTGTGGATTCAATGTCCCCGGTCTTGCCTCTCCTTTGTGCATTCCCTTTGCCTCTCACCCAGCAATCACTCTCTTGGATTGTACCAGATTTTCTCACCCTTCCCTCTCTGAGACCTCCTCTGGAGACTTATCAGACCCCAGAACAATGAGAAGGGGGAGTCAGTGGGTCCTGTTGGAGGCCGTGGAACCACACAAACATGCCAAACTTATCATTGTCCAGAAGTAAACACAAAACCACAAAGAAAGTGACAGATTGTGTAAATGGAATAAAACATTTTGGCCATAAAACCAAGGGCCATACAAATGTAATTTATTTGACAAGGAATTTAAATTTTCCTTGAATCTTCAAGCTAGATATTCCTGATAACTTGAGGATGTGATTCTCTGATCTGACACACTTCCTTCCACCAATTCACAGGTGGGTTAAACTGCAGCTCAGAGATGCCCGTACCTGGCCAAGCATCGCTCAGAATCTGATTCCCACCTCAAAAAGGTGGGAGACCCTGGTACTGCGGAGGGCGTCAGGGAAGATGAAGCTGGAATGTGGGACGTTGTAGATCTCACCCTCTGAGAGGCCTCCCAAAGCTGAGAGCTCTGTTTCCTCCTGCCCCTAAGTCTCCCTGGGTCTCAGTTAAAGTGAGGGCAGGGTCTTTGGAACCTTGGTGACCTGCCACCCTGCCCTGGTTTTCTTCAATCCCTCCCTCCCTCCCTCTTTTCCTCCAGGAAAAACACAAGCACCCCAGGAGCCCCACCTGGGCCCACCCTTCCTGTGGGTGGCCCGGAAGGCCTCTCCTTCCTCTGCTACCATTATCCTCATCAACAACATTGGGTGTTTCATTCTTAATGGTCACTGTCTAATTACCTAGTTTATGCTAAGGTGTTAATGACTTGTTCATAGCTTGATGAGAGGTTTTTCCCAAGGATACCTGTGTTTGGACGGATCCAGAAAGCTCTCTGAGGGTAGAATAATTTGTCTTGCCTCCCTCAGCACTTGGTGGGGATTAAGTGAGTTTTTGATAAAAGGATCAATTCCAACCCACTCCATGTTTGAAAAGGGCTTCCTACCGAGTCTTGTAATGTGGAAAGTACTTATTAGACAGTGTCTATTAGTGTTTCAAATGGTGAATTTTTCATGATCATAGGTGGTCTGAGTGGAGACATTCCTTGAGCTTGGGACCTCTGGGAACACCAGCCCCTCCTGGTCCCCCAACAGCAGGTGTCACTGTATGGGACTGATCTAGACATCCTCTGCCAGAGGAGAGGAAGGAGGGAGAGGAGAGGACAGGCCGATTCCTACATTCTACTTTATGCTCTCCTTTTGGTCATTGATAATAACATTTACGGAACACTGACTATGTACCAGGCACTTACCAAGGCTTTACATGAATTAACACCTGTAATCGTCACAGCCACCCCACATGGAGATTATCCCAGTTAGAATTGGGAAGCTGAGGCTTAAAGAGGTTACGCACTACTGGGTGGTGGAATTCAGGCCCTTAGAACCAGCTCCTGGAGCCTGGGTTCCTGCCTGGCGCCATTCGAGGTGGATGCAAACCCAGGAGCTTCCCCAAAAGGCACCAGCCCTGCCGTTTCGCTGCTGCTCCAACAACTGTCAGTCCTCTCGCACCTAGGAAGGGATGTCCAGAGGCTGGTCATGGGCCCTGAGGGAAGCTATGGAAGGAGGAGTCGAGTGGGGGACATGGAACCCTCACCTAGGCCCCTGGCCCTAGGGAACATGGCTGCCTCCACACAGGTGTCAGCGGACAGAGGGGTTCAGGGCACCGGGAGGACATGAGGCTAAGTCCACGGTTTAAGCAGGATGTTGAAAGAGCAGAAGAATTTGGGTCAGAAGAGATGGGATGAGAAGGTGCTCTAGGCTGAGTAATAATATTTTGGCAAAATTTTGGAGGTATTTGAAGATGAGGCCCATGGGTGACCTGGCCTTGGCCGCAGTAAGGAGCACATCAAACACACAGCCAGCAAAGCCATCGAGGGGACCATGTGAGGACAGGGTTCCACGAGCTGTGACAGCCTTTGGTGCTATAGCACAAGCTCCTGTGTCCCCGGCACTGGGCACAATGACTGGCACACGGTAAGCGCTTCCAGAGGTTTACTGAGGGAGAAGGGGAGGGAGGGAGGCATGCAGTAGGCGGAGGCTGATCTGGGACCCTTCCACTCCCCCCACAAAGGAAGCTGAGATGACATGTGACGCAGCCTTCAGAGGAAGCTCGTGGGAGCTGCCCACAGAGGCACATGCCAAGAACACACTAGGGGCTGAGGGAGATGGGAGAGTAAGATCAGGGAAATGATGACCTGGGAAGACCTCCGGGAAGAGAGCAGGACAGGGGAGCAGCAGAGCAAGAAGGAGACAGGGAGGATGGATGGAAGATGGAGAGGAGGGATGAGGCTGGATGGAGACAGGAGAGGGGAGAGAGAGAAGTGAGGGAAAGAAATGCTGGTGAACCAAGAAGACAAAACAGCAGGGGGAAGGCTGGGGAGGAGCGCAGAGGAAGGGATTCCAGGTTTACCCCCTAAACAAAGTGAGAGAGGACACACCAGCCTGGCCCCAGATTCCCCTCTGTCCTGTGGTCACACTCAACCCACCCACAGGGCCCCAGGAGAGATCCCTGGGCAATGGCAGTGTCTAGGAGGAGAGCTGGCCGTGGGCAGAACAGGGGCCACAGCAGCAGCGACAATCATCGGAGAGCACTGGGGTCCACTGCGGGAGCCAGTGACCCAGCAGGGAGGGGACGGCAGGAAGTCTGGGAAGGGATCGCAGGACTGTTTGGAGCAGGAGGCACCGTGCTCACCGGGCCACCCTTCTTGGCCAGACCTGCACTCCTGGGGAGGCCCCAGCCCGCCTGCATTCTTGGCTTGCCTGGGTCCACAGGGATGTGATGAGTCCAGTCTCACCTTCTAAAGACACAGCTTTATTCAAACTCTAAACAGGTAATTCCTGTCCTCAAGTTGCTCCTGGTCTTATTAGCAAACACACCTTGGAGAAAAGACAGAAAGGATGACATGGACCCCCTAGGCGGCTTCGCCTGAAACCCCAGGCCCTGGATGAGCCCCTCCGTATCTGCCCCTCCTCCCAGTTGACTTCAGGGAATTTCTCAGCTACCTGTCCAACTCCGTCCTCCTCTTCTCTTCTTCATTCTGTCCAGTGCTCGCAAGGCTGGATGTCGCGTGTCCCTTGAATAGCCTCTAGCCTGCCTTAGAATGGGAATTGGGAAGAGGTAAAGTTCGGCAATCCCACTTTCTGGAGAACTTGCAGAAGCACCAAGGTTCCCTGTGTCCTCAGCTGGCTCTGGCCTGGGATGCTCATGACCCAGGGAGAGAGAGGGCCACTCCATCCCTAATAGCCACCCCGAGAGGGCTGCTGTCCTCTGTGGGTTAGGAGAAGAGGCCAGCAGTGGGGTGTCTCCAGGAGGCCTGGGGGAGGGGTGAGCAGCTGAATGAACGGCCCTTCTCCAGGAGACAGGAGGACACAGCTGTGGTTGCAGCCCTCACATACTCTACCCAGCAGCCGGCCCTGTCCAGGGCAGTTCTTCCTCTCCTGGACCCCCAAGAGGAAGCCCACAACCGAGAGAAGTTTCATCAGGAAGAGGGATGGTGACGAGCCAGTGACATCCCCCTGGAGAGGCTGGGGCCTGGGGCAAATTACCCTGTAACAGCAGGTTAATTAATTAGATAAGACCCAAATTACATGAGCAAGGCTTGCAAGGCCAGCAATTTCAAGGTTTCGTGTTGTCTCAGAGGTGGGGAGGCTTGATCTCTGGCTCAGCACAGAGAAAATGACTTCTTGCTCCCAGGCAAGCCAAACCCACGAATTAAGCTCTTGACTGGCCAGCCACGAGCCCCAGTGCCCAGCACATATAAAGGAGGGCACCTGCCAGTCCTCACTGCAACCTGCAGAACCGTGTGGGAGTTTGCCTTCGTCCCTCCTGCGTCTGAGCTCCGTCTCCACTGGAAGCATGAGCCGCCAATTCACCTGCAAGTCGGGAGCTGCTGCCAAGGGGGGCTTCAGTGGCTGCTCGGCTGTGCTCTCGGGGGGCAGCTCGTCCTCCTACAGGGTAGGGGGCAAAGGGCTCAGCGGGGGCTTCGGAAGCAGGAGCCTGTACAACCTGGGCGGCGTCCGGAGCATCACCCTCAACCTGGCCAGCGGCAGCGGGAAGAGCGGAGGGTATGGATTTGGCCGGGGCCGGGCCAGCGGCTTTGCTGGCAGCATGTTTGGCAGTGTGGCCCTGGGACCTGTGTGCCCGACTGTGTGCCCGCCTGGAGGCATCCACCAGGTCACCGTCAACGAGAGCCTCCTGGCCCCGCTCAACGTGGAGCTGGACCCCGAGATCCAGAAAGTGCGGGCGCAGGAGCGGGAGCAGATCAAGGCTCTGAACAACAAGTTCGCCTCCTTCATCGATAAGGTGGGTCTGCTAGGACCTGGGGGAACTGTGGACAGCCCTTCTCTTTTCTTCTTGAACACAAACTTTTGTTGCAGCAGAAGGGATTGGGTTAGAAATGAGGAGGCACTTACGGTGGACAAGGCAGATACTTCCTATCCTCAGAGTGACTTATGCAAGATTCCCTGTGTAGTCTTTCTTGTGAGAAGACAGAGGTAGGTCAGTTTCTACTGGCAGGAGCTCCAAAGAGAAGGCCCCTGCTTCTTACCCTTGAGGGCTGGCTTGCCGCCATAGCTAAGCTGGGGCCCATGCAGGCTGGCTACAGAAAAAGCCAGCCATGGGGATCTGTTCCAGAGTGACCAGGGACGCTGTCCTCCTCCCGTATGTTGCAGGCTGATCTCGTCCACTTGTCATTTGACTGCTGGATTGGAAGCATCAGTGTATGGTCTTCATGGGTGGCTTGGCCACTGGCATTAGTTTTGTTCAGCTAAGGACTCCCACAAGAGGCAGAACAGTGTGATGGAGAAGAGGACTCCACAGTGCCCCAAAGTCAGACCTGCCTTTGACCGTGGCCCCATCACTTATCAGCTGTGTGACTCTGGTAGCTAAGCTGGCCACATACCAAGCTGTGTGACTGTGGGGAGAGGCATTCATCCCGTCTGTGCCCATGTTTCCTCATGTCTACAGTGGAGATAATAATCTACCTCTTGGGGTCATTGTCAGGTTCATGAAAGAAAATGTGTATGAAGATCTTGGCACAACACCTGACACATGCTAAGTACTCCTCAGACGGCAGTCATTGTGATTATCATTTCTATCTCTGAGAGCTAGGGGAGGGGTGTTGAGAAGGAGAGGAATCAAAGGTCTGGAAGAGGTCTCACAGGCGCTTGACTTTCGGTGATAAAAAATAATTGCTCCCATTTTGCGGGTCAGCAAAAGAGTGGAGGTAATGCCGTGCCCAAGGTCATCTCGTAGGGAAGGGCAGGTGAGGCTGGACACTCAGCCTCCTGCTTCCAGACCCAGTACTGGGGACTGGAGGGCTACGCTGATTACATGACAGTCAGGCACCAAGAATGGGTCAGCCCAGGACATGGCTTATTGAGATGGTCAGTGGCGGTCAGACCCCCGCCCCCCCAGCTCCAGACTCCTGCTCAGAGGATTCCCTGATGGCCCTGAATGGTCTCTGTAGCCTCTTACCTCTAAGCTTTTTCACATCTAGAAGAGCACAGTGTTCTGAGGTTTGGAGTCTGGGAGGACAGGAGAGAACTGACCTTTGGCTGGGCTGGTCCAATCTCATTAAGAAGTAAAGTCTGGAGACATGGAAAGAAAGACAAACAAGAAGACAGTTACTTCTGTGGAAACGGTGGTCTGCCTTGGGTGGGGGAAGCAGGCTCAAAGGCCTGGAGAGTTCCCAAATAATTTTAGTCTCTAGAGGAGGACAATCCCATAAACCGAGGCAGCCAGAGAAGATGGGTGCATCCTGTCTGCATCTGGATGTGGAGTCCGAATGTGTACTGCGGTGTCCTGGGTGCAGGGTTTTCTCTGTGGTCAGTGCTAAGTCTCATGGACAGACATGGAAAAACTCAGGACTGGTTAAACCAAACCTGGTTGGTCTCCTGGAGACAGGCTGTTTGGTGGCCAATCCCATCACAACACTGAATCCCAGACAGTTTTCCAATGTCCTGTGTTTTAACTTTAAGGAAAACAACCTTATTTAACCAGTAGCTGTGCTCATGTAGGATTAAGGGAAATCACGTTTTTTAAATTGCCACCCCTGCAATCAAAGATCTACCTTCTCTAGTGAGTTTCCTGGCCCAGTGAGGCCACATAGCATGGGGAGGTCTGTCCGTCCATCTTGCTCCGTGTGATATGCTTGCTCTAGGGAAGATGGTTCTGAGGAGCAGGACTAGGAAAGAAGGAAGAGGCCATAGCAAAGATGGAGTTGGGGCCCGATGCCGGAATTTAGGATACTCAGAAGCTCGTGAACTGTTGAGCCTGGCTGAGCTTGAGATGATATAAAATGAAGAGCAGATTCCTTTCTTCAGAATGGTCAGCCTTTCCAAAGATGGACCCAGCCCGACTCTGCCCTGGCATTTTCAGGCCCACTCCTGACCTGGGCTGGTTTGGTCATGGTGGGTTCCAAGTGACCAGTTGCATGGGTGATGGAGATACATGTCTGGGTTTAGTTCTGATCTCCACCACTTATTAAACCGTTGGACCTTGGAAAGAGGCTCAACTCTCTGCCTCAGTTTCCTTCCCATGAAGCAGGATTAATGATTCACCCACCTCAGGTGGTTGTTGTGAGGGGTAAAGGAGAAGACATGGGGAGAGCTATTTGTCCAGCCCCCAGGGAGTGACAGGTGTGACTGTTTCCGTGGGGCTCAGCACTGATGGGTGTTGGGTTCCAGGTGCGGTTCCTGGAGCAGCAGAACCAGGTGCTGGAGACCAAGTGGGAGCTGCTGCAGCAGCTGGACCTGAACAACTGCAAGAACAACCTGGAGCCCATCCTCGAGAGCTACATTGGCAACCTGCGGAAGCAGCTGGAGGTGCTGTCCGGGGACAGGGTGAGGCTGGACTCGGAGCTGAGGAACGTGCGGGACGTGGTGGAGGACTACAAGAAGAGGTGAGCGGGGACCCCCTGTAACTGCATGACTGCCCAATGCCTCTGAGCTCATCCCACAGGAGTGGGCCCCTTGGGGCACCAGAAGCTCCCCCAGTTTAAAGTTTTTGGAGGTGGGGGCAGTGTTCCTCATACCAAGCAGAATCATCACCCCCCCCAACACTGGAACTTGCTTCCTGCTCCTACAGCCTGGCACTTGGGACAAATGTGAGATTTCCCACAGGACATTTGCACCGCATGCTCCTTCCTCATTTTTGAGGCTGGATCTTTCACAGTCTCCTTCCAAATTTGATGATCACATCCCTTCCTCCTGGAAGTCTCCCTTGCCTGGTTGGCCCCACTGGCCTTGGACTCTGCAGCCCCTCAGCACCTGCGCCCTCTGACAGACACACTGCCCTTGCTCAGGGTCTTCCTGGGCAAACGAGGGTTCCCAGTGAGACGAATTAACCGATTGAGTCCCAATATTCCCACAGGTACGAGGAAGAAATCAACAGGCGGACGGCTGCAGAGAACGAGTTTGTGCTGCTCAAGAAGGTGAGGGGTGGGCAGGCCCTGGTCTGGGGCTGGTCCAGGACCAGGAGGAGCTGAGCCTGCTGGCATGCTCTCCTCTCAAAGAAGGTGACCTGATCCAGAAATAGAAAAGGAAGGCAGGGGAAAACCACAATGTAGGACTATCCAGGGAAGGGACTAAAACAGCAGAGAGGATAAAGGCATCCTTGAGAATTTAATGAGGATGGGGTTGACTGCAGTGAGGAACAACAGAGGACGACACACGGGCTCCCTCTGCAGCCTTGGGGCCTTGCTTGGAAGTCACAGGGGTGACTGACAGCTTCCCTTCCTTAGAGGAGGACCCATCCCTGCTGTGGAGGGAGCCCATTCTTAGGATGGGGCAGGGCTGGGGCTTTTGCTCTGTCCTCCCCTTTTCCATGAGCTTCCCAAAGAGAAGAGGTGGCTATTTCCCCATGCAGGGGACCCAGGCTGGGGTGCATGTTGCCTTCTTGGCTGCACCAGCATTGATCTGGGGATGTCTGGGGCATCTTTCAGGATGTGGATGCGGCTTATGCCAATAAGGTGGAGCTGCAGGCCAAGGTGGACTCCATGGACCAGGAGATCAAGTTCTTCAAGTGTCTCTATGAAGCCGTAAGTCTGTCCCTCCACCCATCCCTCTGAGGGTGGTCAGTGGGGAAAATTCTATTCTGGGGTTGGGAGGGGCACCCGGGACCTCAGGGAGGCTTACCTGCTCAGCTCTTCATCTCCATTTCGACCCTGAGAGGCTCTTCATCTCCACCCTCTGGGTGAGAAGGAAATGGCCCAGGTCCTGGCTTCATGGTGATGGAAATCTGTCTGGGGCCCAGAAGGAACTGACTTTGCCCAGGGAGCAACAGCCTTGGTTTGGAGCCTCTAAACTGGCACCACCAGGATTTGCTCACCTTGCTTGGGGGAGGTTGCAGGCCTCTGACAGTCAAGTCCCAAGACCGTCCCTGTTTCCCCTGTAGGAGATCGCTCAGATCCAGTCCCACATCAGCGACATGTCTGTCATCCTGTCCATGGACAACAACCGGGACCTGAACCTGGACAGCATCATTGATGAGGTCCGTGCCCAGTATGAGGAAATCGCCCTCAAGAGCAAGGCCGAGGCCGAGGCGCTGTACCAGACCAAGGTGAGCTGGACTAAAGGCCTGCCAGGAAGGGTGGCGACCTCAGCTGGCATGAGGGATGGTGCTGATCGTTCCCAGAGTGGAGGCAGTGTCCAGTTACATGTCCAGCATGGCCTGCCCGCATGGCATCACCAGCTGCGAGCCACCATGCACGCCCACCACATGGGACCCATCCATGACTGCGCTTTGGGTCTCCAGTTCCAGGAGCTGCAGCTGGCGGCTGGCCGGCATGGGGATGACCTCAAAAACACCAAGAACGAGATCTCGGAGCTCACTCGGCTCATCCAGAGGATCCGCTCAGAGATTGAGAATGTGAAGAAGCAGGTGAGGTGACCAATTGCCTGTGGCCTCGGGCAGGCAGGCACAAGTGGAGAGGGGAGGAGCGGGCCGAGGACGCCAGCCTCCCAGATCTCTGCCGATGAGAGGAAAGGAGCCAAAGGGGTCACTGCATCAAACCCTTACAGCAAAGGTCCCTGGGGCACCTCATCTGCTGTTCACCCCAAGGATCTCTGCTTTGAAGCCCCCTCCCCCAGAAAGCCTTCTCTCATCACCCAGAGTGAGCTAGGACCACATCGCTCTGCCCTTCCTGACCCGATCAATGTGCTCTCCCAGCACCCATGCCTCCCCTGCACTTGTCACGCTTCTATAACTGCCCAGCACCTGTCTTTCCTTCTTCCGCTGGACTGGAGGGAGGCAGGGAGCTGGCTGATTTTCTCCCATTGTTTTCACAGCATCTAGTACAGGGCCTAGCACATACTAGCTGCTTAATAAACATTTTCTGATTAAATTGTTACAGAGAAGGAAACTGAGGCTCAGAGAGGTTGAGTGGGTTGCACAGCAATAAGTGGCAGAGTGTGATCTGAACCAAGGTCTCTTAGCTCCCAGTCCAGTGCTTTTTCCACTCTCCCATGGGTTTTAACTCTCCATAGCTCTGGGACCTTGGGCAAGTTACTTGTCCCTACTGCATTGGGTGTTGTTAGGACTGGATGAGCTAAGGTATATAAAGGGCATGTGTAGGGCTGAGCACAGTGTCAGGTGTATGGTAAGCACTTGGGAAATAATAGTTGGTCCTAGAGAATTGCCTTCCCGGTGCCCTTGTCTATGGTCCCATGCATCGGGGCAGTCACTGCTGTGCCTGCGACACTGTATCCCAGTGATCTCTCCTCCTGGGCTTTAAACAGCTCAAGAGCAGAAGGTCAAGTTTACTTTTCCTCATTTTGTGTCCTTAGCACAAGGTGGCCAGGTAAATGAATTTGTAATGAACTAAAGTGGTGCTAAGCTGGCCATCATCTCAGGAGGGCAGAATGCACTATTGTTCATCACCACCAATGTCCAAACCCAAGGGAGTGGAGATAAAGCTAAGGAAGGGGCTCCAATCTAGAAGAGGATCATGGGGTCAGAAGGGTGGAGGTGGGCATCTCTGCCCCAGAATTTCAAAGAATGAGTAGGATTTGGATGTGCATGACTCCAATGAGCCCTTCCAGGTTCCAACTTCTCCAATTCCCCATTTAGGCTTCCAATCTGGAGACGGCCATTGCTGATGCCGAGCAGCGGGGGGACAATGCCCTGAAGGACGCCCGGGCCAAGCTGGATGAGCTGGAGGCTGCCCTGCACCAGGGCAAGGAGGAGCTGGCTCGGATGCTGCGCGAGTACCAGGAGCTCATGAGCCTGAAGCTGGCCCTGGACATGGAGATCGCCACCTACCGCAAGCTGCTGGAGAGCGAGGAGTGCCGGTGAGGGGGGAAGCTCTGGCAGGAAGGCTCCAAGGGTTTGGGAAGGATCAAAACTCATCAGAAAAGATGAGTTTTAGGGAAGAGAATGAGTAATGATGCTAGAAATAATAACAGTAATCAATAATACCTACCCAGACATGAGAGCTTACTTCATACCAGGCAGTGTGCTATGTGGATTGGCTCATTTATTCCTCATGACTTCCCTGTGTGGACCTGGGCACATTCCCACCCTCCACTCCTCCATCTCTCCCCGCCCCAGAAAAACCCATTACTATATTAGGCCTTTTTGTCCTACCTTCCTTACCTGTCTGGATACAAGATGAGCTTGTCAGAGATGTCCCAGAGAAGCCACTCCAACTCCCCAATGTTCTAGGAAGAAGGAAGGGCTCAGTGGCTGGGCCTGACCCTTGGGAGGTGTACATGCCACCCCCACATGTGCTCCTAGGAGAACAACTGTTTTATTTCAATTATTGCCTGGTTACCCCAAAGGTTCAGGGGGCCCTACAGTTTCTCAGGCTCTGCTTGTGCCAAAGAAGCCCTGGAATTTTCATGGCTTCCCACTGAGTTCAGAAACCCACATTAGGCTGGTGGGGGCACTCGCTTTGAGGTTAATAGACTGTGGGTTGGATAACTGCTCTTATTTTATTTCTCCCCTAACAGGATGTCAGGAGAATTTCCCTCCCCCGTCAGCATCTGTAAGTACTTGTACACTTGGACCTAAAACTGTAGAATCTGTGGACCGTAGAGGGCCTTAGTTACACCTTGTGTGTGTAGATGAGCAATCTAAGGACCAGAGAGGGAAAAACTTTGCCTGAGATCACACAGCCAGATGGCAGAGGCATGGCCAGCAATCAGGCCTTCTGATTCTCAACCCAGGGCTCCTTCCCCCTTATGACTCGGTCTCCCTGTTTCCAGGGGATGGCGGCTACAAGGATATTATCATGGGGATGGGAAATCAAAGGACATGGTGCAAGAAAATGAGCATGGGTGTGTGTGAGGCTTGGGAAGCCAGACCTGTGATCAGACCTGGGCTGGGGAATTAGTGAATGGGGTACCTCGGAGGTCAAGTTGACAGTGTTAGCTCTCTGGGTATCTCAGCAAGGCTAAGAATTCAATCAGAGCTTCTGAAAGATGCCATCTGTAGAACGGCTAGCAGGACGGAGAGGTCGGAGGGTGGGAAGTTTAGGAAAAGAAAGGCTAATAGAAGAGGAAGGAGTGTCCAGCATGACAGGCAGGTCTATCGGTACCTAAACCAAAGAGATGGACTTCTGCGAGTTAAGAATGAGCTAGATTGGGTACAAGCTGGGCAAGGCAAGGGCAGGGCATGGGGGAAGCTGTCTCTGAGATATTTTTCCCAATGCGGAGAGGCTTGGCTATGACCAGATCCCCCATCCAATCCATTGTTCCAAGAAGAGCCCCATCTTTCCAAGGGGCAAGGTGGCCTCATCTGGCCCTGCCTCCCGCTCTGCCTGTGGGGAGCTGACCCTGCTCTCTCCCCTGCAGCCATCATCAGCAGCACCAGCGGCAGCGCTGGCTATGGCTACCGGCCCAGCTCGGTCAGCGGAGGCTACGTGGCCAACAGCAGCAGCTGCATCTCCGGAGTGTGCAGTGTCCGCGGTGGGGAGGGCCGGAGCCGGAGCAGCACCAGCGACTCCAAGGATGCCCTGGGGAAGGGCTCCAGCCTGAGCGCCCCCTCCAAGAAGGCCAGTCGGTAGAGAGGGCTGCCCCATGCCCCTCCGCCGTCCCTGTGTCCCGCATCTGGCTCCCCCAGCCACTGTCAGCCCTACCCCAACCCTGCCAGCCCTGCTCTTGTACCTCTGGTGCTGGACTTGGCCACCTACTCCTCCCAACCTGTGTCTTCCCCAGCCTGGATGGTGTGGACGACTAAGCTTGGTGAAATTCCTCTCTGCACCAGCTGGTGTTTGCCTCCTTGGCTGTGGTCCCCCAGCCATGCCACCAGCGCAGCCCCTGGTTCCCAGCCTTCTGTCCTCTGCACAGCTTCTGGCTCAGTTGCTAATTACTCTGTCTGGCTCCATGGATCTCAGACTGAGACCCCCTTTCACACTGGGGCCTTTGTCCCAGCTCCTGCCCCATGAGGGGAGCTGGTTCTGTGTTCAGGAAAAAGAGGGCTGGAGGGTAAATGACCAGGCGAGGCCATCCCCACCCCACCCTGGCTGTCTCGCGGCTCATTCTGAGTGGACCAAGTGCAACCCAGGGTCTCTTTCTCCCCTCTCCTGCATCCACAAGCAGAGAAGAGGAGGCCCGTTCCTTTCTCCTTTCTTCTTAAAGGCCCTCCCACTGCATCCTCAATAAACAGCAGAGTCTGATGGCTTGGTCTCTGAGTAATCAAGGTGTGCACGTGTACCTCAGTTCACCTGCTCACATGAACAAGTGTCACACAGACACCCGGACACACACAGAACAGCGCTGCGTGTCGCCTGTACACCCCATGTTTCAAGGGTAATCTTCTCTGTAAAGCAGAAAAAGAAGCTTTCAGAGCACACACGGCGGAGGGGCTGTGAGTACCATCGGGGCTGCAGGGAGATGAAGTGTGGAGCAGAGTTTGAGAAGAGGGATGGAGAAAGGGTGGGGAGAGAGGAACGGAAAAGCACGGAGAGGTGTGTGTGAGGTCTGGTTTGTGGCTTTCAACAGAAGTGTTACCTGTGTCCACTGACAGAAGGGGTCCTGCTCCCAACAGGAACCCTGGCCTCTTTATAAGAACTGGATCTTTCCTAGAGGAAAGGTAGGGGCTTGATGGACAGGTGTCTGCATTTATTCCACTTGCTCCTCACTTTCAGAGACCTGGCCTCCCAGGGGGTCACCCAGGACAGGTGGAGCTATGGGGGGCCCCATGCACTGGACCCTTCTGCTAGAAAATCTAAGGGAACAACTTCTTGGAACCTGAAGCTAGACTGAGGAGGAGTGAGTTGGGGGTGGGGCGGGCTGTGAAATTTAGTGATGATGCAGTTAGCCAGTCCTGCCCTGTGGTGAGGAGAGGTGTGAGGACAGATGGACAGATTCCCCAGCGACCAGTGTGAGCCAGCAAACCTCAGCCAGGGAGTCCTTGGAGGCCCGAGGGGTTTCTAGCAATGGAGGTGGAGGGGCAGCCACTATGTTACATGAATCTACGTGGTCATTGGATTGTGGTTGCCAAGAGCAGTGGTTCTTTACATCAGTTGAACAATAACCTGGAAACTTCAAAACATACTGATACCTGAGCCTCTCCTCCAAGCTGATTAAGTCAGGCTACTGGGTGGGGCCCACGTTTCATTGGTATCTTTTGAAGGCTAGTGAAGGAATTCTAAGGAGCCACTGGCCTAGGGTGTGGATCCAGGATCCAGAGGGGAGGAAGGGCTGATGGATTAGTAATGCCTGCCATGGCCACGGGTGGAGGGAGTGGCGGTACATGATTCCCTCTCTTGTCGGTGCCCACATGTGGCTTTGCAGTTACCAAGTACGTTCACATCCATTGTCTAAACAGTGCTGAGAGTGACAGAAGGATGCTGCTGCTCTTTTGCAGACAAAAAGATTGTTTATCAGGTCACCCATCTATCAACAAGCACCCTGGGCTGGAGAAGACCCCAAAGGTGCCCTGTGGCTTGCCTGCCTAATTTTAGAGGGCTGAGGTGGAGAGTGGGGGCAGGGCTCTGGCTCCAGCATGTGAGTCTGGACAGGAGCTTGCCTTGGCAGTGCTGCCACCTGCCTGCTCCTCCTTCCTGGCAGGTTCCAGGAGGACATCTACTGCAGGGTGAATGTGGAAGAGGGCTCAGTGCTGCCTTGGGTCCTCACACAGCTCCTGCATCCTGATGTGGGGGGCCCTCTGTATTGCAGCAGGGGCCTCTCTATTTCACCAGTGAAGGAACTGAGACCCAGGGAGGAACAGGGATCTTGTCTAAATTCACCTAGGTTGTCAGGGGCAGAGCCAGGCTAAGACCCCAAAGTCCTGTGCTCTTTCCAACACACCCATGGCAGGATGGCACTGGTCTCCAATACTGGCAAGGGGTCCTGCCCACGGTGGGCAGATTAGGGACCTGTGTAGTCTCGGGAGCAGAGGGGCTGCTGGACAGTCAGACAGAGGCGAGCACTTGGCAGCATTCAATGGCATCAGTGGGGTGGAGGGGTGCAGGTGGGCCTGTATCACATCAGGGGGGTGGGGGGAGGAGGCAGCATGAGGTGTGGTAGGAGGTAGGGTAGAGTTGTCTGGGGAAGCCAGAAGGTATACTGTGTATAGCCAGTCAGTTCTTCCCCAATCAGGCCTCTGCTCCCTCTATTCAGTTCCTTCCCTCTGTTCGGGAGGAGCAGAGGGAAGGGACAGGGTCTCTGGAGGCATCCGAGGCAGAGGAAGAGATGCTGGTTCACGTGGTTGTAGGGATGAGGCCCATGGTCCTTCCTACCCTCAGAGTGTGGAGGAGCCTTCACTTGGAGGGTGGAAGTGGAGGCCCAGTTGGAAGGGCTGTGCAGGAGACCTGCTTCCAGGGGTCGCATTGGGGCTGGCCCTGGGAGTCTCGACTGAGCCGGTCCTGATCGCTGCCTGGATGACACGGGCCTGTAGGTGACCTTTGGGTTAACAGGGGCTTCATTTTCCTCTGCTGCTGAGCCACTTCCATCCCCACCCCTGCCCCAAGGATCACACCTCACGCCCATTTCCCACTCATATATGCTGAAACTGAAGGGGTACGTGACGGTGCCTGGCCCAAGCCGCTGACCCCAAATCCACTGCTTCTGGGCTATTACTACCTGTCATAACAATTCCTGCTGGATGCCCAAAGCCAGCTGGTATGAGCACCAACAGGGCAAAGGCCTGCTCATGTGCACCCAGAGTGTGAAGTGTCAGGGTGTTCCTCGTGCTGCTGTGTGCAGAGAGCTGGCCTGTTAGCCTAGGGCTGGGCTTCCCGCCACTTTGCAGAAGGGGACCAGCAGGACTGGGCCTCAGACACATCCGTGTTCCTGTCCATGGGCAATAAGCAGCTGGTGGACCTGGCTGCGTCATCCCAGTAGGAGAACATGGTCCTGGGGAGGGAGGCCCAGGCCCTGGAAGACCAGGAGGCCCCCACAGTGTTCTCTGGCTGGGCTCCCTCTGCCTTCTGAGAACTCCAAGACAAAGGTCAATAGTACTAAAATCCAGGCTTAAAAGACACTAGGCAGGAAGATTAATAAAAATTGGGCAGGAAATTCACTGAAACGGGATCCCCCTTGACCTTCTCAGTGGGATTCTATGGGTTTGGGCTTGGAGTGAATTCCTGGAGTGATTGATAGAGGTATTGAGTCCCTGGAGCCATGAGAGGGTGAAAGTAAGGGATGGGACGTGGGGAAGCCGAGGACAAGGGCAAAGTGGGGGACCTGTACATTGAGGACTGATGGAAACCATACTCAAGATGGGATGGGCTGCGTTAAGAGATAGGGTGTTTGCCATCACAGGAGATACTCAAGAACAAATTCTGATATTATAGAGCACTTGAGAGTTGGATGGACAGTTTGATCAGACCAATGCTTCTCACGCTTTCATTGGCGTATCAGTCTTCTGGGAGTCTTGCTAAAATGCACCTTATGTTTCAGCAGGACCAGCTGGGGCCTAAGAGTCTGCACTTCAACCGAGCTTGTAGGTCAAGTTGATGCTGCTGGTCCTTGAACTTCACTTTGAGTGGCATTCAAGGTCCCATCTAACATGACAGAATTAAATTCTCTGAAAACTGAACTATTTCTGCTCCAACTTGGCTACTAAGTCCCAGCAGGAGATTTTACTGAGAGAGCCAAGCCCAGAGGGAAGGGATGAAGGGCATTTATATCCAGAGCAGTGTCCATATTTGGACTCTGTTTTCCTTCAGCTTCTTCACTGGAAATTTGTTAAGTTTCCGTACAGTGTAAGTTTCATCTGGGCAGTTGGCCATTTCCCCGAGGGGCTGGGACTCTTCTCAGGGAGAGGAGAGAGGACAAGAATCACCAGGGGCCACCTTGGAGGCTGCCCACCATAGTGACGGTGGGTAGTTGAGGGATAAGTGTCCAGGAAGACACTGGGGTTTCTAGCTTAGGTGATGGGCAGTAACACCATTTACAGGGAAAGGGAATATAGGAAGAGGATTGGGTTCTGAAAGGAAGATGTGGAGTTCAGGCTTGGAGAAGCCGAGTTGGAGGTGCCTGTAGTATTGTCAAGGGGAGATGGTCAGTAAGTTATTGGATTTTTTCAAAAGAAAGGTCAGGGCTGGGATTCAGATTTGGCAATCAGAATTGGGGGCCAGAGGGCACACCCAGAGAGATCATTACAGGGTCTAGAACAGAGCCCTGGGGCAAAGGGAAAGGAGACTGGGGAGGAGTAGTCAGAGAGAGAGGCGGAGAACAGGAGAGGGCATTTGGGAATCAAGAAAGGAAAAATTCTTAGGGTGAAGAAATGGATCGAGAGGGACTAATCTGCAGAAAGGCCAAGAAAGGGCAAGATCCAAAAGATGGCTTTGGGTCTAATGATGAGGGTGGGAGGGGACCTCACCCAAGTGGGCTCCGGCAAGAGTTGGGCAGAAGGCCTATTGAAATGGGAGTGGGATGGGTCAGAGTCAACTAGACCATGAAGGGAAAAAGAGAGATGCGGCAGGAGGTAGAGAGTAATGAGTGCACACAGTGCGTTATTTAGAGTCTCCAGGAACGTGATCAGTGGAGAAAGAGGTTCAAATTCCAGCCAACATAGGAAGGTCTTGGAATAAGGGAGTAGCGATGGGATCTAGGGACCACAGAGGGCAGGATGAGCTCTTAAAGTTACATGGGGATGGAGAGCTGAGAAAGCTCATACCTAAGAGCCTAGTTTTTTGTGTGTCAAATAAAAGGCATGGCCATGTGCTGAGCGATGGTGTGGGGGTGGGGCATGCGCATAAGCAGAGGGTGAGGGGCAGGAAGGGAGCTGATCCCAGGGGTGGAAGGGCATTGTGATGAGCCTCAAGTCCTGCCTCCACATCTGTCCCAATTTACTGCCTTCCTCACATCGAAGTGATGCTCTGTGGAGTGGATGCAGGAGAAAGAGAAAGCAAGTCATAGTCCCTGCAGTCAGGAAGCTTCTGGTCCTACATGCAGGAGGAGCCACTCAGGAAGGGTACAGGTACAGGAAAAACTGGTGCAGAGGAATAAAGTGTGAGATGCACTCGCTCGTAGAGGCTGAGCCCAGAGTGGGAGCCAAGAAAGCTGCAGGGCACAGAGCTGTGTCGCATTCTGACTAAAGGGCCAGATCAGGGCCCAAGACACGTTAAATGGGCTCCCACAGTGGGAAGGGGGTGAGCAGGGGAGGCCCACCTGACACCCAGTCACTGAGACTGCAGAGAGGAACTGAAATATCAGATCAATCACCAAGTGTGATGGAGATGCTG